ACACTTGAATACACTTAACACTCAAGTGCAGGGCCGTAACAGAGTTGTCACTCAATATTACAAAAGCATAAGTGCGTTCAAGATGAAACTGTCATTGTGGGAGACGCAGTTATCCAACGGTGACACCACGCATTTCTCTCACAGCTGTGCGTCCGAAGGCACCGGACCGTCCCGATAATGATTTGGATAAATATAAAGATAACATAACAGATTTGCTGCGAGAGTTTGAGCAGAGTTTCAGGTATTCGGTGAACTTCAAAACAAATTTGTTTTTTTTTGCTTGGCTTTTACAGCCAAGCCTTCTGATGTGCCAGCTGACGTTCAACTCGAGCTTATTGACTTGCAGTGCGATTCCGCTATGAAGGATACATTTTATCAATATCTCTTGCCAGGTTACCCCAAATTAACAGCCATGGCTGCAATGGTTCTATCCATTTTTGGGACTACTTATCTTTGTGATCAGGTGTTTTCGGTAATGAATAATAATAAAACAAAGCAGCGCTCAAGGTTATTCAAATCTTTTTATTGTTTTATACATGCAAGAACAACAATAAAGCAAACAAAAACAAAATGACAACAGGTGCTAACATCACATATTTAGTGGGGGGGGGGGGAGAAGGGGAAGGAGGAGGGGAGGGCTATATGCTCAGAAATCTGTCTCAAAATGCAAAAGAAATGGCTGCCAGGTGATATTGTATTGTTGGATTGAGTCATTTATTGTATGTTTCAGATGTTCAAGCTTCAGATGGAGCATAACATCTTCCATCCACTGCTTATGAGATGGAGGAGCAGCTCTCTTCCAATTAAATAATATTAGGCGTCTTGCAAGCAGTGTAACAAATGCTATAGCATTGGCCTGCTGCGTTGTTATTGGTGTAGTCGGAGGGACAACCCTAAATAAGGCAGTTAGAGCACTGTGATCAATATTCCTCTTGCATATAAATGTAATCGTCCTAAAAACTTAATCCCAAAAGGGGAGGAGCCTGGGGTAAAGCCAGAACATATGACTGAGATCAGCAGGGTTGTGTCCACACCTAACACAAGATGAATCTACACCAGGATACATTCTAGATAATTTATTAGGGGACAAATGCAATCTGTGCATAACCTTAAATTGTAGCAGGCTATGTCTAATGCAAATTGAAGAAGAATGGCTTCTTGAGATTGCGGCCTGCCAGGCTGTATCAGTAAATAGTTCCCCTAACTCTTTTTCCCATGATTCTTTTAGATGTATAAGTGATGGGGATGCAGCGTTCTGAATTTTGCCATATATAACTGATATTAAGCCCTTATCAGTCGGATTCATATCCAAACATTCATCAATCCACGTTATTCGAGGCAGTGTTAATGAGAAATTAGTTTTCACGTAACTACGTACCTGTAGATATATGAAGAAGTCAGCCTGAGGGACACCAAAGCGCCTTTTAAGCTGTTCAAAAGAAACAAATTGACCTCTTTCAAAAAGGTCCTTAACGCAAGTCATGCCTCTCTCGTGCCACTTCTGAAAGGATGGATCTATCAAGGATGGGGTGAACTGGACATTGCATCGCACAGGAGATGCAGTTAGTGCATTTCTAAATTGAAAATGAGTCCTGAATTGGACCCATATCTTTAGAGCGCCCGCAACAACTGGGTTATTCGTCCTGTGGCATTTACTCAAAGGTAAAGGGCTACATATTAATGAGCTAAGCAACACTGGATTGCTAGAATGTTGTTCCAGGTGGACCCAATCTGGGGATTCAGGACCCGTCTGATCGATAGACCAGTACAAAATCTTATGGATATTGGTTGCCCAGTAATAGTAAAGGAAATTAGGTAGGGACAGTCCACCGTCCTCTTTCTGTCTCTCTAGATATTCCTTTCTAATTCTCGGAATGTTTTTATTCCAGATAAACACAGATATATGTTTGTTTAATTCTTTGAAGAATTTCTTAGGAATAAAGACTGGTATGGTTTGGAACAGATATAAGAACCTTGGCATGATTGTCATCTTGACTGAGTTTATTCTTCCTACAAGAGACAGAGGGAGTTTTGACCACTTCTCCATGTCTAATTTAGCCTTCTTCAGTGCATTAGTGAAATTTTTGTTAAACAAGCAGCTGTAATCATATGTTACACAGACGCCCAAATAATCAAAACTATCTTTACTGACTATAAAGGGGAGACTATGGAAGGCAATTTGACGTGCCTTGTCGTTGATTGGGAATAAAACACTTTTTGATAGATTCAATCTATAACCAGAAACCTGCCCAAATTTCCCAATTAGGTTTAGAGCAATAGGTATTGTAATATTGGGTTTAGACAGGAAAAGGAGGAGGTCATCAGCATAAAGGGACAATTTGTTTACACGCCCACCTCTCTGCACCCCAGTTAGATTAGCGGAGTCCCTTATCAAGATTGCCAGAGGTTCAATAGCGATATCAAACAAAAGGGTAGCCCCCTTTTGTTTGATATCCTTGTCGGGTACCACGTGAGAGAGGAAAGAAACTAGAAGTGACCTTATTTGTTCGTACTAAAGCATGTGGTGCTGTGTACAAAATGGTGATCCAAGTACAGAAAACTGGGCCGAATCCAAATTTTTTGAGTGTAGTAAACAGAAAATCATATTCAATTCTGTCGAATGCCTTTGGGCGTCAAGGGATATCACTACTTCAGGTTCAACATCATGGCGCTGATAGATTACATTAAAGAGGCGTCGTAAATTACTGGATATCTGTCTGCCCCTGACAAAGCCCGTCTGGAACGGGTGGATAAGTTTGGGAAGAACATTTTCGAGCCTGCCAGCAAGGACCTTTGCCAAAATCTTATAATCACAACATAGCAAACTAATTGGGCGATATGACTCACAATGCAAGGGGTCTTTAGATTTATTAAGTATCAGTGAAATAATTGCTTGTATCATAGTCACAGGTAGGGCCTTTTTATCTAATATCTCCCTAAAAACTCTAAGCAGTAAAGGGACTAATTTTGGTGCAAATTTTTTTAAAAACTCTATGGGAAACCCACCTGGGCCAGGTGCCTTTCCGGGTTTCATTTTTGTGATAGCCTGAGTTATTTCTGATATAGTAATAGTACCCTCCAATTTAGATTTGTCCGAGTCATCTAGCATAGGTATAGTCAGATTGCTGAAAAAGTCTTCGGTCAAAGCAGTGTCACCAGCTTCAGAAGTATACAAATTCTCATAAAATGACTTAAACTGAGCATTAATCTCATTTTGGTTAGTAAGTATGTTACCATGCTCATCATTTATTGCTGTAATGAAGCCTGCAGATGCTGACTGTTTAAGTTGATGGGACAACATTTTGCCGGGACGATCCCCAGACTCATAATAGGTGAGACGTGACCTCAGGTGCATGTCTATGGCTTTGGTATTAGTGATTGAATCAAATTCCGTTTGAAGTAGGATTCTTTCTCTGTATAAGTCATCAGAAGGTGAAGCTGAATGTTGTTGATCTACGGTTTTAATTCGTTCAATAAGCTCTGAGGCCCGTTTAGCCCTCCTTTTGTTTTCACCAGCAACGTAAGATATCACTTGACCTCTCAGATATGCTTTTAGACTTTCCCAAAGTATAGCATTACTTATCTCAGGTGACTCATTTAACTCAATGAAAATATCTATTTGTGCGTTGATGAAGTCGACAAACCTTTGTTCAGACAGAAGTCTGGGATTAAGCCGCCACGCCAAGGTGGGAGATTTGTCTTCAGGAAAGCCCAACCGCAGAGTGACTGGGGAATGGTCTGATATTACAATGCTGCCATAATTTACTTGGGTAACCATGGGCAAGAGTCTCTCATCAATCAGAAAGTAGTCAATCCTTGAATAGGTTTGGTGTACTTGGGAGAAAAAAGAGAACTGTTTGGATGATGGATATTTGAATCTCAATAAACGTATTAATACAACGGGCTGAGTTACTAAGCGTGGCAACTTTTGGGCTGGAACGATCCAATGTTGGGTTCAAAGTGCAATTCAAGTCACCACCTAGTATTAAATTGTGCGATTCAAGATCTGGTAAGAGGGAAAAAAGATTGCTAAAAAAATCCACATTATCCCAGTTAGGGGCATAAACATTAGCAAGAACAACAGACCTATTAAATAATTTGCCTTGTGTGATGACATACCTGCCATTTTTAACCCTAATTGTTTTAGACTCTTCATACTGTACATCTCTATGTATTAAAATAGCTGCTCCCCTGCTCTTACTGTTGAAATCCGAATGGAAATATTGTGTAAAGCCACCTCTGCAGAGTCTACACTGATCTTTATTTAGCAAATTGGTTTCTTGCAAATAAACAATGCGACTTTGCCATTTCTGAAGATGAGAGAATACTTTGTTACGTTTCACCGGGTGGTTTAATCCCCTGACATTCCAGCACACCAAAGTGGTGTTGGTTAGTATCTTATTATTTGCAGAGGTCATAGACAAGACTCACCAAAAGAGGCATCCAACATATAGCCCATGAGGGGAATGGGGGAGAGAAAAAAGGACAAGGGGCAGGAGAGGGGGGAATAATGAACACAAAATTAACAAAGCACCTATAATAGAACGGCAAAAGAGGAAAAAATAAAAAAATAAAATAAAAATTAGCCTCAAAAGGAGGCCGCTATACTTCCAGTTCTCACAGTATATCTCCTCACTATCCAAACTGATAAATGCTTACCATGTTAGCCCACACCAGAACCCAATTACAAACGGTAATTAAACACAACGATGCAATTTCTACAGCAGTAGTGACCCATTCCAATATAGCATCACAAAGCTCCAAAATAAAAATTATTATTATTATTATTATTTTTTTAATAATTGCAAGTATCAAAAAAGCCAAAACTTAGAATTCCAAATTAGACATTATGGTGTGTCTCTTTTATAAAGAAAACGCACTATAAGACTCAATATACGCACGCATTACCTGTAAGATCCAATTATTCAGCGCTAATGTATGTTATTGTCCTGTGACGTCACCGTCCAGTCCTAATAACTCCAGGCCATGCTTAATGGGACGCTTCCGCGCTCAGCAACTCCTTCAGAACAAACTCCTTCGCACGCTTTGGATCCTTGAAGGTCGTTTCTTGTCCGTCCGCCGTAGTAATCCTTAACGTCGCTGGGTATCTGAGACCGTAGCGGACTCCTGCGCAGCTGCGCAGCAGTTTCCTTACTTCGGTAAAAGCGGCGCGCTGTTTACTCACAGCTTGGGTGAAGTCCGGCAGGACGCGGATAGTGTCCCCATCAGCGGTTGTTATCACTCCAGCCTCTGCTGCTTTTTTGAGAAGTAATTCTTTTTCTGTGAAGTAGTGACATTTAACCACAAACGCCCTCGGTGGAAAGTCATCTTGTACTGGCTTTGTGTGGAGAGGCCGAAGCACTCTGTCCAGAGTCGGCAACTTGTCCAGTCCAAGGGCTTCTTTCAGCACACCAGCTACGTAAACTGAAGGATGTTTCCCTTGCTCGCGCCCCTCTTTCACTCCGGTGATGCAACGCCGTGATCTGGCCTCCAGATCCTCACACCGGGCTCTGAGCAGGGTAAGTTCTTTTTTCATCCCAGACAAGTCAGACTCCATATTCGCAATAGAGTTAGCATTAGCGGTCACTCCGTTTTCTAGCTCAAACGTGTGGCTCTCAAGTTTGTCCAGTCTTTTATTGAGTTTATCTGTGACATTGTGCAGCTCCGTTTGGATTTCAATAGCTTTTTCGTCCATTTTCTTCAACAATTCTTGCCTCATTGACTGTAATTCCTCCATAATGGCATTCTGGTTGCCCGGCGCAGTCGTCATTGTTGATGTTGAGCAAGCTAGGCTAGCTGAGCTAGCTTCCTCTTCAGAGGCCCTCGCGTCTTGTCCGAACTTGTTGACTTGAGACTTTTTTGGCATGCCTGAAAGGTTGATGTTGTCTAATATAAACACAACAGCTTGTGCAAGGTTATATCGCGTAATTTTATAAGAGCCGTATCATAAATGAAATGGTTCAGGTGTGGAGCTCACAAACCCACGTCCTCACATGGCGCTGCCTCAACCGGAAGTCCCAGCAGCGCTCAAAGTTAACAGATAAACACTTGAATGACATTGTTAAATGTGCTGCTACTCAGGATTTGACACCCAATATCGATGCACTTATGAAGGCAAAAAGATGCCAAGTTTCAGGAGCCAGCAGCAGCAAGTAGACTGCAGGAGTGCATTGAGAGAGAAAAAAGTGGGATGACACGAAATTTGTTTGCACTTGTGAATACAGAAAATTAAAAATATGATTCATCTGGTTTCATATTAAAGACAATGATATTGTGCAGTATGTTCTCAGCTTCAGCGGGCCCAACCTAGTAGTTTGATCTGACGAAGTCTAATCTTATTGCCCATGCACTGCACTTTTTTTATTCATTTCAAAGCAGTATGACAATTAAGGCGAAAATATATTTTTCATAGCTCCCACTTGAGTTTGTTAATGTGGTGAGTTGGTTCAGGTGTAAAATAAACCAGTTGTTATTTCATACCCAAACATGAAAATATTTTTTTTCCATTGTTTGTTGAATAAATGTGTTGTGCTCAGAAAAGATCCCTTGTCATCTATAATTATAGTATGTAGGGTAGGCCACAAATGTAGGCTGAATGATAAAACATAGTACTGAAAAACAAAGCTAAATATTTGGAGTTGACATTCTTTTACTGATCCGGCCCACCTGAGAACAGAAAGTCTGGATCCGGCCCCAGAGCCAAACTGAACTGTCTGAACTGCCCTTTCAGCCTCACCGTTGCACTGGGGGTACCTAGGACTAGTAGTTACATGTTCAAAACAGTACTCTTTTGCAAAATCTCTCATTTCCTGGCCTGAAAATTGCAGACCATTGTCAGTTATCAGTGTCTCAGGTATTCCATGGTGTGTAAAAAATGACTTTAAATGCACTATAACATTGATGGATCGAGTTGGACTGAGCTGAGCTATTTCTACATATCTCGAAAAATAATCCACAAGTAACAAATAGTTTTGCTCTTTCAGTGTATACAAATCAGCTCCCAACTTCTGCCATGGCCTGTCTGGTAGATCTGTTGGCATCAGAGTCTCTCTCGGATTAGCTCTTTCCTGTATGCACTGTCTACATTTTAACACCAACTCACTGATCTGGTTACTTAATCCAGGCCACCACACTGCTTGACGAGCACGTTCTCTACATTTAACCACTCCCTGATAACCTTCATGTATTTTCTCTAAAACAGCATTTCTCATGTTAGCAGGGATAACTAACCTCGTGCCTCGCAGTAATAGATTATTGTGTACACACAAAACTGTTCTTTCTGGCCAGTAATGCTTCACCACTCCTTGTAGCCGGTTTCTGTCTGGCCAGCCTTCTGCACAGTACTTCATGACCTGAGAACAGACGCTGTCGGACTGCAGTTGCTCTTTAAGATCTGCAAGATATTTGCTGCTTGTAGGAAGTCCCTCTAGCACAGAGTCAACATAAATGTTAGTGTCCTCCATCAGATCTGCGTCTCGGCAAGTAATGCTGTTAGTAAGTGGTAAGCGTGAGAGTGTGTCAGCTGTGGTGAGGTTTTTGCCAGGGATGTGCTGTATGCTGTACGAGTACCTCATCTATCGCATACGAAATCTCTGTATTCGCGGTGGCAGCGCATCCAAAGCTTGTCCTCCCAGCAAGGTCACAAGTGGTTTGTGGTCCGTTTCGAGTTCAAAGTTCAATCTTAAAATGAAGTCATTAAATCTTTCACAGGCCCAAGTAAGAGCCAGCCCTTCTTTTTCTAGCTGGGCATATCGTTGCTCTGTTGGGGTCAATGAGCGCGACGCATACACCACAGGTAACCACACATCTCCTTCCTTCCTTCTGTAACAAAACTGCACCCAGTCCGTACGATGAGGCATCTGCAGAGATCTTCTAAAGTTTATTCGGATCATAGCATTGTAGCACTGGAGTAGACGAAAATTCTTGCTTCAAGCCACAAAATGCTTTTTGTTGTTCGTGCCCCCAGTACCACATGTTTTTAGTTGAAAGCAAATCTCTCAGTGGTTTGTCTTTTTTGGAAAGAGTTGGGATGAACTTCCCTAGTTGATTGACCATACCAAGGAAGCTCCTGAGCTCACTCACATTACTAGGCTCTTTCATGTCCTGAACAGCCTTGGTTTTGTCTGGGTCGGGGCTCATTCCCTCCGATGAGACGACAAAACCCAAAAACTTGACTTTTGCTGAACTCACATTTTGACATATTAAGAGTGACACCTGCCTGCTCTGCTTTCTGTAGGACCGCATGCAGCCTCGTGTCATGCTCCTCTTTGGTGGTTCCCCAAACCAGGATATCGTCCATGTGACACACAACTCCCTCAAGGCCTGCTGTCACCTCCGTCACCATCATGTTCTGAAAATGTTCAGGCGCACTGGAAATACCAAATGGCAAGCGATTTAAATTATATCTACCAAATGGTGTGATAAACGTGGTGAGGAGAGCAGATTCTTTGGATAGTGGTATTTGCCAAAATCCCATATTTGCATCGAGTTTGGAAAAATACTGTGCTCCTGTGAGCATGCCTAGTGTCTGGTCTACTGAGGGCAGAATGTATCTCTCACGACACACTGACTCGTTCAGTGGTTTCATGTCAACACAGATACGCACATTTTGCTTGTCCTTTTTGGGTGCTACTACCATGCCACAACACCAGTCTGTGGTCTCTTCCACACGACTGATCACTCCTAGTTTTTCCATCCTCTCCAGCTCTTCTTTAACTTTACCCATGAGAGGTAGTGGGACACGCCTCTGCACTTTGAGTGAGAAAGGCTTAGCATCAGGCTTCAACTTGATGGTGTAGGGCAGGGGTCACCAACACGGTGCCCGCGGGCACCAGGTCGCCCGCACGGACAACACGAGTCGCCCGCAGGCCTGTTCTAAAAATAGCACAACTCAATAGTGAACTGCGTCTTAAATTTAATTTTGTTCCGTTGCTATTCTTTTTTAATCACACTTGCATTCATATAGATTTGATTTAAAATGACAATATCTTAAAAAAGTGTTAATTATATAATAAGTTTAAGTTTTATCTAGTTCAAAGGTCAGTATTGTGCACGTGACAAAACAAAACCGGTGTCAGTGGAGAGTTAGCTAGTGGGCGCAGCGGAGATGGGTGCAGTTTCTTACCCCAAAAACATGGGAGAAAAACGAAAGAAAACTTATCACTTTCACAACGAATGGGAGGAGGAGTTCTTTTTTACGACTGTAAAAGAAACCTGCGTGTGTCTGATTTGCGGGGCAACTGTGGCGACGGCAAAGCGGCACAATGTGGAGAGACACTTCACTTCGTGCCACAAAAGCTACCGTGCTAACTACCCACCGGAAACGGGCAGAAAAAGCACATCTGAAATATGCACTCACAGTTGCAGTGTCAAGTTACACACCAGATTACAATGCACTAGTGAACAGCATGCAATGCCAATATGTTAAAGATTGGGTCATGAGTTCAAAATCTGACAAGATTTCTTTTAAATATGTGAGTTGATTTTTCTTTAACATTAGATCATTGATAACTTTTTGAAACATGGTGCAACATAGTTCATGATTTGTTTTAAGGTTTTGTCAGTGGCTATTGAAAATGAGTGAAAGTTAAAACTCCTATGTAAATGTAGTGATGTACAGTAAATGATCATCTGAAAATTTAACAGTTGCTGAAATAAATAGAGATAAAGTGGTGGATATTGATATGTTTCCCATTTTGTTGTCACTGTTGTCACAGATGAGTGTCATTAATGATTATTAATAAAGTATAGCTAAAAGCATATTGAGCAAATGTATTATTTCAGAAGAGTGTATCAAACTGGTAGCCCTTCGTGTGACTCAGTACCCATGAAGTAGCCCTCCGTTTCAAAAAGGTTGGTGACCCCAGGTGTAGGGTTTTTGAACAAGTCCGAGCCCTTCACACAGTTTTGGGTATGTCTTTTTCACTGTCTCTTGGTCAATACTGTCCACTCTTGCTATCAGCTTAAGTCTCACAGACGCTGTTCTGCTCAACAATGCCACGCGCAGATTTCTGACCACGTAGATCGTCTCTGTTGTACTCCTGTCGGCGTATGAAATAGTCTCTGTTGTCGAGCCTAACACATTGAGCACATTACCACCTGGACCAAACAGTGGTTTCTCAGCTTTATCCAAATGTTCATTTGTCTGTTTTAAGTTCTTGTATGTCTGCTCTGAAACAGCAGTGACATCTGCCCCTGAATCCAACTTGAACCTCACTTTAGTGCCTCTCACGTCAATGTCTGCAAGCCACGGATCTTCTCCTTGATCAAGCTCACCTAAGAAAAGTCCATCTGCACTCTCAGCCACTTTATTTACAGCACTTTTGGACCTACACACTTTACTGTAGTGACCACGTCTGCCGCAGTTGTGACATTCCGCATTTTTAGCTGGGCACTGGGCTGCAGGGTGTGCTGGTGCTTTTCCACATTTATAACATGTTTTACTGTCTTGTTTCGCATGTTGAGGTTTTTGGAATTTCAGCTGTTTTTGTTCTTTATTTTTTAACTTACTTGGCTTGAATTGTCTGGTGTGTACCGCATCCATTGCCGTCTTGCTCACATTACTTTCACATCGCAGGTCAGTCTGTTGCCGCTTTATTTCTTCGGACTGCCTCGCCATTGTGATAGCTTTGGTTAGTGTGAGGTCTTTGTCGAGCTGCATCCTCTCTGACAGAGACGAATCTCTGAGACCCACAACGAGTCTATCTCTCAAAAGTTCATCGTGACGTGCACCGTATTCACAGTTCTCCGCAAGTGCGTACAAAGCCGTGATAAATGAGTGAACTGGCTCTGCTAGCTGCTGTACTCGCTTGTTAAATTTAGCACGTTCATAGATCACATTCTTTCTGGGGACAAAATGTCTATCAAATGCAGTTTTGACTGCATCATACTGCTGGCGCTGCCCATCGGTCAGGTCTAGTCCTCTTACCACGTCGTCAGCCTCATCTCCCATGCAGTAAACTAACGTGTTCATTTGATGAGCATCGGTCGAATTATTCAGATTACTTGCAACTCTGAAGCGCTCAAAACGTCTGATCCACTTTTCCCACTCTTGGGGTTTTGCAAAGTCGAAAGGTTCCGGTGGTTTGATGGTAAAAGTTGCCGCGGGTGGAGCCACCATTACAGGAGCTGCTGCCGCTGCTACGAGTTGGGCTGCTTCCCGTGCGTCTCCCCCATCCATTGTCGGTAGCCGAATGCAAAACTGACTTTTTTACCTGTGTCCACGAACCAGGACCACTTCTGACACCATGTTGTGTTGGGTTCATACACACGAGGATGCCCACTTTGAGTTCACACGGAGCCTCTTTATTCACATACGTCCAGCTCAAATGCACATGTAGCTTAACTCTAACTCTGCTGTCTTAATGCAGCTTTCAATCAACATAATACCACGGTTTCCCCCCTGGTGGCAGTACACATATACATCAATGCAATAACATTAGTTTACACCACAATATACATCAAACAGGATTTTTGTGTTACTTCAAACTAAGTAATGATTCAAAACTAGATCAAATCTCTTTGGAAGTTTTCTATATCACATTCCATGACTTCACAACCAAAATTTCAGTTGCACTCACTTTCAGTCAAAAGATATCACACTTTCCAGTATAAATCCAGAAATAAGCTGCTTTCACCAAGATATGCACAAAACAGGATTTTGCTATAACTTCACAGTAATGATTCAATAGCCTCGTTATTTGGGATTGGGCGACGGACTTCGTACCGCCATCGACAACGCCTGGGTATACCAGCATTACAATACACTCAACTGCCTCGGGAGAACCTACTGTCGAACATCAGACACATATTGGAAAGCACACCGAATGCTGGCGAGACTTATATACGGGCCAGCCTGCGCCACATAGGTATTCATATTCAGCGCAGGCGAGTTCGAGAATGTCTACATACAATTGATCCAATTGGACGAAGTGTACATCATCGACAGGCCATTGGCCGCAGGACCTACAATGTTCGTGGTCCGAATTAGTTATGGTGAGAGTTATTGTTTTTAATATGCCAGCATTAAGCCTATTAATGTGCCCATTTTACAATGTATTTGCCCCTTGAGTTGAACTGATTACTTTTCTTCTCTTTATTTGCAGGCACATAGATTAAAATCACAAATTAATTCATTGGAGAATGGTGTTCCACGGATGTGTGGACGGATATAGCCGCACTATTATATACCTGGACTGTTTAACAAATAATAGGGGTTCTAGTGTGTTGACGCCATTTGAAGAGGGAGTGCGGAACTTTGGGCTTCCATCAAGAGTCCGGTGTGACCGGGGAACTGAAAACTTCGAGGTTGCACATTTCATGCTGAGCAGAAGAGGGTTAGATCGGAGAAGTGTGATCGCAGGCCGCAGCGTACATAACCAAAGAATAGAACGACTTTGGGCTGAGCTAAATCTCTTATTTTTATGTAGAACTTTTCAATTTTATGGAGAACCAAAACTACCTGGACTCATTGTCGGAGCTGCATATATTTGCATTACACTACATATATATACCACGAATACAATGGGTGGTGAGGGAGTTCAGGAATCAATGGAATAATCACGCGTACACGTGGAGAAAATCCCTCCAGAACGCCACAACCCTGTTCTCATCAGATCTGTTGTTGCTTCCTTTTGCTGACCAGTTATTTGAAACAGTTCGTCCAGAGAGTCAGCTGTGAGGTGAATGGGATTGTAACAGAGCAGGGAACGAAAAGCTTCTGGATGTAGCTGGATCTTCTGGAGGACTCCAAGGGTCTTCAGCCTGTCTCTGAATCTAAGCACAAGATTTAAGTACTAAAGAAGTCCCTATGCCCTATTCATGTAGTTCTTTCTTTCAGACTCAACAAAGTACTTGCAGCTAGCAGGGGCTGAAAAGGTCCAGAAACACAAGGGCTGTTTCCATTACACATATTACCAAATTAATTCGCCTGACTGGGCGTGGTTGTGGTAGAGTGGACACACGTAGAATTCGCCCCTATGGGCCATTTATCAGTGAGATTTTAGTACTTTTTTGAGGCAGGTTCTATTGCAAAGCCCAGCAATGGCAGCAATTTACACATGCTCGTCAGCATAACTTAACACACTCTGGCCAACAACCTTTAACAAGAGTCTTTTTT